CCCATTACCTGTAAAGTGCTTTGAGTGGAGTGTCCAGAAAAACGCTATATAAGGAATTATCATCTTCTTCCTCATCAACACCTCGCTTTAACTCTGCAAGGTCAGAAAGAGATTGAGAAAGTTGAACCAACTGTCTTCACTAAATAAAGACCAAGCGAAAAGGGGGACAACACACTGATCGTTCAGAATTTATAAAGCATAATCAGTTTAGAACTCTGAAGTAACCCTGCAACTTGAGCAATGCAAATCAAAAAGGAAGGTGAGAACAACATCATTGAAGCTGGAAAAGATAATAACTGTAGCGACTTAATGTACCGGCATCTGCATCTAAAACCTATAGACCTCTTTAACTGGGGTATTATGAACTTTTTCAGCTCATCATTGTTGCTATGGAAAAAAAGACATCTAACTAGAATTTAACTTTCCCATGTACAGGTTTTAAAAAACATATAAAAATGAAAAGATAAAATTAGGAAATTCTGTTGCATATCCATTTCAGACATCTTAAATAGCTATAAAAATGAGGACCTGGGTTTTGCTGTAACATTTTTTAGGTAACGGAGAAACAGAAATGAAATGTTACCAGTGGACCCTATGTAAAAATAAAAAAAGGTAACAAGAGGTCAGCTTTCTTATCCTTCATTTAAACTTCTCTCAGCAAAGAGGTACATCCACTTACAAATATGAGTATTTCTTAGAACGTGGGGAAACTGAGTGCTCACCTGTTTCAATTTTTAAGACAGTCAAAACAAGACAAGAAAAAAAAATTAGTTATATAAAAAAACAGAACAATTTTGTTCGTGTATCCTGGAAAACCTCAAAGCTATTACCTGCCTCTGATAGCTCTCATCTAAAATGATCAGTCATCGTCAGAACTGTGCAACTGTAAAGCAGAAAAACAAATCTTTATTGTTTTGACAACCTTTCCTCAATGAAAGAAACGACTACAATAAATATGATACAACTACATTACAGTATGCTATATATAGTAAGCATATACAAATTAACAAAATTTTATATTACAAAGACACGTCCCATACAAACAGCCTTGAAAGACTTCTCTCTGCTTCATCAAATGTCAAAGGGCAAGGAAGGAGAGGCGTCATGAAAACATTAATCAGTGGTGGACTGTACATGTTATTTGTTGTTTTTGCTCTTTTTTTTTGTAGTCCAGAGGCAACGATTTTCTTCCCCGTTCCACTAAAGAAATAGTCAACAGTGGCTTTGGGAGTTCCAATACTTTGCGTCTATGGTCGTTTTCAGACGTCAGAGTCAGAGGGACGCAGGCATACGCAAATCAAACACTTGCTTGCTCAGTGGCTGGAAGAGGCAGTCGGTACCAGCCCGTGTGGATTCCACCAAGTAGTTCTGCCACGTTCCAAATTAATTCCTCCTTAAAGACGGGGGAGAGCTGGCTTATTCCAGAGCCCTTGCCTTGCACAGGCTCTTCATGAGATGAATCCCGCAGTGCAGGAATAACGCAGAAGAACTCATTCAAGGAGTTGAAAACCTACCTGGGGTACAAATACAGCACAGTAGATCCATGGAACAGCATGAGTGGTGAAAACAAGAGAGTAGCGATCTAAACCGGTGAGGTTTTTCCCCATCTCGGAATCAGGCTTTTCCTGAAGACCCCTCACAATCATGTTCTGTGGTAGAGTACAGCTCTATACTCACCCAAATGAAAGACAAATCAAACTGAAAGTTGGTTTTCCCATCACTAATCTCTTCCACTTCAAGCTATGTTTCTTTTATTTAAAAGTTACACAATTTGGAGTTGCAAACTGGAAAAAATACATTTTTCACAAAGACCCAAAGGAGCTTTCAAACTCTGACCTATAACAGGACACTCTTTGCCTCCCACATACTAAGGATCCAGATCTTAAATACATCCATTTGGACCAGAGGAGGGACATCTTCCCCAGCTGCTGAGGTTCCAATGACTACAATACCCACATACAGATCACATTAATTCTTTAAAACAGCAGATTTGCTCATTTCAGTTTGTGTGATTGTTTTAAATTCCTCCCACATTTAAAGTACACTCTTCTCTGGCGTTATGAAGATCAAAAACTTTAATGAGCCAAATGGGATTTTAGCCTGTTTTAATTATATCAAGAGTAAATTAATAAATGAAAATCTGAATGCACCAAACATATCCAAGATCCCAAAATCTGGAAGTGCTCGTTTTTTGTTTTTTTTTGCAGTGGGGGAAGTGGGATATTTATATTTTACCTCTACTACAATGTGTTGATAAATTTAAAATATATATAAATGTAAATGAGTGCACAACAAGGAACCGATACATCCACATGAAAGATGACTTGTGGGCCACACTACTACCATCAGTTGTAGTTGACATATTTCAGGATGTATTTGAATTATAAATTAGCATGCTAAATTATAAATGCCTGATGCGACTTCAAACATTTCTGGTTTTAATTTTCTTTTAAGTGGCAGTAAATGGGCAGGTGGAGTTCAAGTATGCCCCCGCACCCCTGACATTTCATTGCGCAAAACTCTCTAATACACAGCACCCATGCAAACTGCAAGTTTAACAGTTTTCCTGTTCAGAACACGCGAGGCCAGTAACTGACTTTGCCTCTGAACTGGTCCAAATGAAAATCCCAGCCTAGCGTCTGCAATACCCTTCCAAGCTTTATAATTGCCAAAAGACTAATCAGACGAACACTACTGATGCACAAAGTAGGATTCGTAGGATATAAATAGGAGGGGGAAATCTAAACGATGCTGTTGCACTGGATCGAGGGACGCATATCCCTTTCAGTCTTACTCTTAGTAGACTGTGCCATGTTATTGTCCGTACTACAATGAAGGCCCAACACATCATGCATTCTCCAACACAAAACAGGAGCTGAAGGCTCTCACTAAGAGAAAACTATGCTGTTACTGTACATGCCTTCACGTTTCCATGCACCACTAACAGCAGAAACGTTTTTAATTGACCCTAGACAATAAAAGCAGTATGGGCTAGTTCAAGGGAATGAACTGCGAGATCCTGTTTGTTATTCCCTTTTGCATTGTAAAATGCCTGGAGATAGCTGGAATGCTATTGAGAAAATCCCTTCCAGGACTAGAATGACTTGGGTTTCACGAAGCTGTTTTTTTTCTTTGTTATTACACATGACTGGATGAAAGCGGATCTCGCAAACGCAACAGGATAATGAGTGCCGACCCAATCCAGCATTAACAGAAGATGTGTTTATAGTTAATTGCTATAACTTTCTCAAACCGACTTGGCAGCCGCGGAGGGGACCAGAGGAAGGAGGGAGATGAATCTCTGATGAGCCTGATGTTTCACTAAGCTTGCTAAACTCTAATCGAGGACAATAGCTGGTTTCCATAGAGAGCAACGCCAGTCCTTCATATTGAGGGCCTAATTGAGAACCCTGCAATGGATGATGAAGCACAGAGCAAAGGAAAATGAGAACTGGACTGAAGATTTTAGGCTTGGTCAGGCAAATTAATGACTGTTATCACTAATAAAATGAGCAACATAAATGGAGATATGGGGTTATTTATTTCAAACTCTTTGTGATGTTCTGGTCTTTTGGCCTTGCAATTCATCCGTTTTCTAGCTGCTTCATTGAAACACAGGGTCGTGGGGGAGTCTGAGCCTGTCCCGGCAAGCAACAGGCGCTGGACACCAGTCCATCTCAAAGTACACACACACACACACACACACACACACACCAGGGCCAATTGTTTCAGAAGCCAATTAACCTACCAATGTGTCTTTGGAAACCAATGTGAACAAAGGGGGGACATCCAAACTCCACATGGATAGCACCCAAGGGTCCAGAAATGAACCCTGGGCCAACCACAAACCATATTAATTCCTCTAATATAAACTGGGCGCCTCAAACGTTGGGACATTTTTTGTGTGTGCTAGAGGGTGAAATGGGTAGTCAATGGGTATTTCAATGCCCTACACTTGCCACCCACTGCACACGAAAATGTCAAAATTGACCACATCTTTAATTTATGTACTGTATGGACCTAGTGATAATCCCTCTTACAGCCCTTCTCATTTACATGCACGTCAGTGATAGACAGATGGAACATCATACAGCGACAATTCACAGAACAAAACCTCAGCAGAATTATAGACTGAATTTAACAGGAACAAGTGAAGATTAATTGCACACTGAAAAGTCGAAAAAGACAACACTGGCTGGTGAGTCTTTTTCAGGTGTAAGGGAGTTGATTCGACAGCTGAAACATCAAATTTCTTCTTTATACTTTTCACGGCTTCTTGCTACATCATCATGAATTCAACAGACTTCAGAATTCAGATGACGGAAACCACCTGCTATCTCAATTAGAGCAATGAGTTTACAGACAAAAGTGCCTACTGGGTTTTCTCTATGGGATGCAACATAAATGGAGAGGAATTAAAAATAACCACTTTTTTCCATGATCTATATTTATGTATTGTATAATATGTACCTGTATTTAAAAGAACAGATGCAAATGAAAGCTGAACTCACTCTGTCATCAGTGACCACTCAGTTCCTCAGGGAACTGAGAAGGGCCAAGCACACTGCTTTAGTCTCCTTGTGATGCCAGATTTGAAAACCAGTTTTCCCAGTGCCAATCCCTTCTTGCAAACCAGTTCCCCACTAGAAACCACCCTTTTCTTGCTTTTGTAGAAATGAAACTGGAAATTGGTTAAAAGTAGGTACTGAGGTTGACACCATACCTGCTGAAGTCAAGAGGTCATAAAAACCCATCTAAGACTCTCGTGATTCCAGACTATTCCAGGCTCCATTCTTAATGGGTGGGAGGCTTTAAAATCCTCTATATGAGCAGACTGACTCCTTTATAAAGGAGCAAATCCCACAAATATACTTTCACCTGCACAAATGTTAGTGCAATCTTCCCCACGCTCTTTTTCATTGAGTGCCTGGCACCGATAAACCTAAGTAGCACCTCTTTATGATTACAGTCTAACACAAGACGGAATACCACACTCATCTTTCCATTTTAAAACTCTACATTTCTAATGGCAGTATAATAACACACAACGATTGTGTTTAAGGTTATAACTAGGGCTTTGAATCTATCACAGGAAGAATTCACACTAGGAGGTTTCCACTTACTAGGAATAAGAGCTTTAATTTCATAAACGAGAAAAGGAAATCAAATGTGCTACTGACAGATCCTCATGAACTTGCTTTAAGATTATTTACATCATAAACACTTTCACGACATGCTATGGTGTACTGATATCTAACTTCCTTATCAGCATGAAGATGATAAGGAAACATTACACAGCTACTTTGCCTCAATTGATCACTCACCTATTGATGTCTATATTTGATTTAATTCCCACACAGGTATTAGAGACCACTTATTAGCAACCTCTTGGTTCCCAAATACACGGTCTAAAATTCTGCAAACTGCACACACATGAAACAGTGACAAATTGCTTGAGATTTTTCCTTAAACTGAGAAAATAAACCATGAAAAAAAAAGTTACCTTGCACTCGCTATTTAAATTGATTTAAATGAAATAACTTCACTGCTGTCTGCTCTTTACAGTCACTACAGTGCTAACCAATATACCAAAAACATCATAACATAAGGCTGTGCATTACTTGTACAAATCAAAAGTCCACAAATGTCCTATATCAGCCCTTAGAAATGAGTAAATGTAAAAGTTTGGGTAACTTGTAGTTATTGCTGAATTACCAGAGATTTAAAAGAGAGCTGCCCAGTGTACACTGTTGTTTCAGATTTGTCGGCTCCAGTTGTAAATCTGAGTTGTGTTTGTGCACTGTTTCACAAATTGAAGGCTGAAAGATTGAGAGACGGCTACTTAGCATTGGATTCAGACACCTCAGAATGAAAATTTGCCCAGGGTAGGCCACTGCACTTTTATCCTTGAGCAAAGCTCTTCACTCCGACTGCTTCTGTAAGATGCCCGGGTGTTTAAATGGTTACAAACGTAAATTGTTTTGGATAGGAAGGTCATGCAAATTAATACTAGGTGTGGATGCTTGGAAATCATTTCATACAACAGTCAGAAGGCATTTCAGACAGGAATGCATACGTTTGTACAGCACTCATACGCATGACCTTGTCAATATAGTATATGGTTGTGAATATCCAAACAGCTTTAACATTATAATCTAATAAATGATACCAGATCATGAGAAAATGAGTAAAAAAATATGCAAATAAGCAGCAGCTACTGTCATTTAATGCCTGACTTGGTGGGCTCACTGCATCTCCATCACAGTGAGCACACCGAGACCAACATTACATTGTCTTTTGCTGCAGTTGTCACAGAAGGACAGGCTAAAAATGGGTTAATCTTCTAGAAGTGCTTAACCTTCGAAGACAATCATGGCAATACTGGGTTAACGGTAACTCAGAGAAAAGCCTTCTATCGCTCCTACACAAATTTCACAATATTTTTTTCCAGTGCTACTTCATACAGGTAGAAGCCAAACAAACCCAGATTTGATTTCACCACTTGATCTCACCACTTCAGAAAATATTTTGTAAAAGCTTTGTAAAGTTATCTGCAAAATTACACACTGCATAATTTGCTAACAAGGACCGGGTTTCAGCTTTTAACTGATTTTTTAACTGGTATATTTTAACTGTTTTTTTCTGTTTGTGAGCTTCTATCACAAATGAAACAGTATATATATATACGGTCTTACCTGAATATTATTGAAGGTTATATTCCATAGGAGTCTGTCTATTGATAGCCTTGCTCCATCAGATTAAAGCACCTTGCCTGATCCATCACTAAATATCAACATCACATCAGTACACAACTGGCCAACATGGCTGGGATATCAGTTATTGGTTTTGGCTAAGAAAATAATGGGGGCACTCCTACAAAACACAGTTAAAATCCTAGCTCTGTGTTGATACAGACTCTCGTGAGGTGGACTGCGACATACTTGTTAAATAATTCCGTAGCCAGCCACAGATTCTGCTTTGCAGACTGAACAGTTCTTGGCGAACCGGTCACTGATACTTTGAGGGGTGCTGTACAAGATTCAAAGCCCCAGTTGTAACGCCACTAAGAACAAAAGGACCCGTAGCTTGCTTGTGCTGAAAAGCTCCTCACATGTTCACATCTGAGCAAAAACCACCAGAACTCCTCTTAAAGATCCGACACTCCATGCCTAAGGCAGCGTCATAATGGTGGAGGCTTTTCTGTGTGTCAGCAATAATGCATATTGGAGGCTAGTCCAGTAGTACAGAACAGTGAACCCGCAGTATCGACGCCTCCTTTCCTCTCGATAGCCTCCAGTTTCTAAAGATGGCAATGTAGGAACTGTGCTGCCGGTGTGCTTCAGTCACATCACTGGTTAGCTTATTCCTCCATTTTGCTTCTCCAGCACTGAAAGTTTCAGAAGTCGGTAGACCAACCTACCCCTCCCTGCCCCCCCATTTTGGGAGGAGCCCCGAAAACAAACGGGCAGTGCCGAGAGTCGCTGGACCAGGCGTCGCCGGCCGCTAGCTCGTCTCGGGCAGCTGCTGTGAGAGAGGCGGCAGGCCCTGGGGGCAGACGGGCAGGCCCCGGCCTCCCTCGCCGCATACCCCCCCCAGCGCGGCTTTCCTGGAGCAGGCGGTGCAAATGTAGTCCTCGTTCTCGGCCATTTCCGCGGAGACGCCCACGCAGACCTGGTGGAACCACTCGTCGCAGCCGCCATCGCACTGGACCCAGTCGACCTGCGCAACGAGAGGCCACAGAGAGGGGGGGCAGTGGTCATTTTGTTTGTAGAGGCAAAAAAATCTAATAAAATTAAAACAGACCTAGAGCCATGGCACATTGTGCGCAGTAAACTCGCGCTTTAAAGGGCTTCAGTTTTAACCAACAAAATCTGATGAACGGATGGTCTGTCTGCAAAAGGGATACTTTGCAGAATGTATGCTTCTGCGCAGGCATGTCAGTGGCTTTGAGGATAGTACACAGTGTACACCCAGCAGTATGGTATTTTTTATAACACAGTCGAGGATAAACCTATACAGTAAGCAGTTATAGTTTTCCCTTTCACAAGTGTCTCTTTTGGGCTCAAAATATCCTTTCGTTAGTTTAATGGGCAATATCGGACATCCCTTTCTCCCTATTATCTGGTCACGTGAAGGTATTCTGGATTGCATTGCTATCTTGAAGATGATATAAGAAGGGTGTACCAGTGTGTTCATGCAGCACAGCAAAGACTATGTGATCTTTTCCACAACACCAGAACAGTGCGCGTGCCTGTCAGGTGTATTTAGTGCATGTTACAAAACAAAAATATTATCAAGTTAGAAAACACAACTCCAGAACAATCTTGGATTCTTTGAAGCCAGTTTCAGGTGAGCAACTGCAATTCTTCACCTTGTCTGGGAGTTGATCCCTAATATCACCATTCCAGGGAGTGAAAAGAATAAACTGGCTTCAACGCAGGTGAGGCTAGAAACCTCAGCTTAGGTGTTGTTTAACCAAGGAGATCATTAAAGCTAGCATGAACACTCCATAGCTTGTTCTTTCTTTCTTAATGGATTACTTGCTACCACTTGGTGGCATATCCTAGCGCATAAAGTGTTGTCACAATTTCCAATTATGTCATCACACTTGTTCTACAAATAATGGCGACTGGATCTTATGGATACTGTTCAAAATAAACCATACACACTGATATTCTCAGATTTATTCATCAAACCTCACTTTGGCTTGACTTGCAGTAGGGTCTGACAATCAACAATCTTTTGACAAGTTAACCTACATCGTAACAAGTTTCATCTGGAGTCCTGCTGTTGAGACAGCGCACTTAAAAGAAGCTTTTCTTAAGGACGGTAAAATAATTAACAGAAACTGGAAAAGAGAACTTTATAAATAACTTAAAAAGACAGCTCTTAACTCACTTGAAATCATTTCTTAAACCTGGAAATATCTGTATCAGGAGGTTATTTGTTTTCATAGGAGAGGCTACAGAAGAAAAAGTCAGCAGGAAAAAAACAATCCCTTGAATACTCAATAGACCCAAGATGTTAAATTGTATCTTTTACCTGCACTTAAACAGTTATGTCCTTGAACCCGAGCACTGCACTTTGTCTAGTAAATACTAATCTGCTGTCTGCACTTGTTCAGCTGCGTCTTATTAACAGCTTCCTTTCTTCAAACAAAGCAGCACACAGCTCAGATGGACTTCCTACATGCTATGGTTCTCCTATGAAGAGAGCTTTTGATTTAATCTTTAACAATGCAATGGCGTTGCCTATTGAACACAAACTAAAACAACCAATAGAAGCTGGAACATGTATTTAAGACACGTTATTGTGAAAGTCTGAATTACTTAAAGGTCAACAATTATACTAGATGTGCTCAAAAGGAGCCAAGGTCTTATAGCAAGAATGACCACTTCGTCCATAAACGGAGTATAAGAAATTCCTAAAGGTTGAGCAACAGCTCATTCCAGATATTTAAATCATAAAATAAATATCAATAGTTAAAAACTTGAGATAAAAGCCAGTAGCAGCATCAGATTTAACATTCAAGGAGCCCATAATGGCACCCCATTTCCCAACCACCTTTCAAACAGAAATGAAAAATCAATTTTAAGGGGTTAAATATGGTTTAAAAAAATCCAAAGAATGATAACCTTAAAACAGTGATGCCTAATCTCCATTCAACAAGCCAGAGTCAGACGACAATCTCAGCGCCCCATTACTGTACACAATGCTGTATGGCATATTCCCTGATCAGGTTGGATCGAGCTGACTCAAGTGCACTCATGCTAGCTTCAATGTTTCAGCACCTGAGCTGCAAAAATGGCATCTCTAGTTACTATGTGAACTAGACCAGTTCCACTGATCTTACACCAAGAAGTGAATGGATGTAGCTAGGCAACCACAGTGTAAACATTATCATAATATGCTGTGGTTTACCGTCAAAACATTGTAACGCTATAATCTACTCACAACTACGGATACTAAAACAGTAGCGCAGAAAGTCTTGCCAGCTTGACAGTTCTTACTTTACACCTGATGTACAACTGCACCTAGTCTGTAATATTAAGCTTCACAAACTGGAGAAAACAGAAGCAAGGAGAAACAGCTGATGAGGAAAAGAAGATGCAAAATGATTCTTTTGCGGCCACTGTAGTAGCAGTTATAAGGAAGATGTAAGGATTACTATTAATTCTAATTATTTGTCATAGATATACCTGAAAAGTGTCAATACGTAACTGCACAACTCAAAGAAATGTGTGACTGAATACGTCGATATGTTTTGTTTTAAACTTTAAAAGTGCTAATACAGCATAAAACATAGTACTAATACATTCTCTTACTAAAGGATACTTAATAATAATTCCTTACACTTATATAGCACTTTTCTGGACAGTCCACTAAGAGTGCTTTCCATGTAAGGAGGACACTCCCTCACCACCATCAGTGTGTACCCCCCACCTGAATGATGCGCCACAACACTTAACACACATCAGCTATTAATGGGGAGGAGAACAGAGTGATGAAAACAGTTCAGAGATGGGGATTATTAGGAGGTCATGATTGGTAAAGGCCAGGGGGAAATTTGGCCAGGACACCAGGGTAACACCCCTACTCTTTTCAAGAAACACCCTGGGATTTTTAATGTCCATAGTCAGGACCTCAGTTATACGTCTCATCTGAAGGATTTTTACAGTATAGTCTCCCCGTCACTATACTGGGGCATTAGGGCACACATAGACCACAGGGTAATCCTATACCCCCTACTGGTCCCACTAACACCTCTTCCAGCAGCAGCTGTAGCAAAAGATGCTTGGACCAAGTATTAAAACGAGTGGCGTGAATACTTAATTATTGTTTTGTTTTTTTATTTGACATTACACTGCCACTACAGGCCAAGTTCCAGGACTATCACTTTCTATAATCTCTCTACCCAGTTCAGGGTCAATTCATGTAGCCTGGAGTCTATCCTGACAAGCATTGGGAGCAAGGAAAAAGATACACCCTGGGTGGGACACCAGTTCATCACAGGGCAGACACAGACACAAATACATGCACACATTTACACCAGGGCCAAATTTACAGGAGCCAATTAACCTACCAGCATGTCTTTGGACTGTAGGAGGAAACTGGAGCACCTGGAGGAAACCCATGCAAACCCAGGGAGAACACGCAAACTCCACACAGATCGTGCCCCAGGAATTGAACCCAGGGCACCAGTGCTATGAGACAGCAATCTTACCCAGTGCACCACTTATGTTTAAGAACTTATGTTCTAAAATACAGAAAAGCAGCAAAAGCAGGACCAATTAGTGTATACACTTGAGATAGCCTGTCCTTTCAAATGAGGTATAATTGCACCGATTTGCAATAAAAACTCTAAATTATTGAGTTACTTACATTATCCTTTGGATCACTGCTCATAAAGCTTGCACTGCTGCTAAAACGTTTCACCAGTGAAAAAACTGCCCCTGCATGTAATTAAATCATTGCACCCCCACCAAAAGCTCTCTCCACTTAAGCATTTCAGATGCATTCCATTCATTCCAACGCTGTCTGGAACGAATTTGCATCTCTTCAGGCTAAGGTCTCTCATAACAAAGGCCTAAGACATAAGAGAGGTAGGCGGCATCGTGGCGCAGTGGTGACTATTGCTGTCTCACAGCGCTGGGGCCCCGAGTTCAATGCTTGTGGTACTGTCTGTGTGGAGTTTGTATGTTCTCCCTATCCTCACCTGGTTTATGTAGAACTGATATGGTGGCATGGAGGAGTAGTGGTTGGAAGTGCTGTCTGCATTTGCGTGTTCTCCCTGCGTTTGCATGGGTCTCCTCCGGGTGCTCCAGTTTCCCCCCACAGTCCAAAGACATGCTGGTAGGTTAATTTGTCTTGTGTTTGTCTTCTGTAAATTTGGCCCTGGTGTAAATGTGTGCATCTATTTGTCTCTGTGTGTGCCCTGCGATGAACTGGTGTCCCACCCAGGGTATATCTTCTTACTTGCTCCCAGTGCTTCTCAGGATAGACTCCAGGCTACATGAATTGACCCTGTACTTGGTAAGAGATTATAGAAAGTGGAAGTTCTGAAACTTGGCCTGCAGTGGCAGTGTAATGTCAAATAACAAACAAAACAATAATGGATTATATAAGCATTCAACAACAACACTATCCCTACCATGAAGGAGGGACAGATGCTATCATGCCAGAGGGCATGTGGTAGACCCTCAAACCAAGTGGAAGGAGATCCAAGCGGGCAGAGCGGAGGCACTGTGGCTCAGGATCTGCGCCTGTGGCTGGAAGGTTGCCGGTTCAAATCCCGCGGCCAGCAGAGGAACCCTACTCTGTTTGGCCCCTGAGCAAGGCCCTTAACCCCAACGGCTCCAGGGGCGCTGTACAATGGCTGACCCTGTGCTCTGACCCAAAGCTTCTCTCCCTGTCTGTGTGTTTCATGGAGTGTGTGCCTCTCTGTCTGTGTGTGTTCGTGCCCTGTGGTGGACTGTTGTCCTGCCCAGGTGGTACCCTGCCTTATGCCCACTGTGTGCCAGGATAGGCTCCATATATGGATAAGGAAGTTAGAAAAGGGATGGGTTTGATAGCAGGAGTCCACTCACCTTGTCCTTGCAGGGCCGCTGGCAGTTCTTGGCGGCACAGACGGCGTTCTCGTCGTCCGAGTCTTCGGCGCCGGACCAGTCGTACTTCGAGGGGATGTCCAGCACTTTCTTCTCCCGCTTCTTCTCTGGGCTCTCCCTGGCCGCTTCTGCCTTGGCGGCGACCTTCTCCTTCCTCTTCTTCTCCTTCTCCTCCTTCGCCAGCCGCTTGGCCAGCTGCTTCAGCTCCTTGGACTTCTCCGGGCTCAGCTTCAGCTTCTTCTTCTTGGGCTTGCCCTCTGCCTTCTTCTGCTCCTTGGACTTGATCCGCCCCTCGCTGGCCAGCAGCAGCTGCTCCGCCTTCTCCAGCCTCCTCTTCCTCTTCTTCTCCGGGTCCTTAGCCTTGAGTTTCACCGGCTTCTCCACCAGACCTTCGTCCTGCTGCGGGGACGAACCACATAAGGTGAACGGGACGGCAAAGAAAATGGGGAACGAGAAGGAAAGCTACTCATTTAAAGAGAGGCTTTACAATCCCTCGCACAGAAAGGCTGAGCAACAGATTAGTTGCATTTCTGCACATCACAGATGTGGGATGCGCTTTGTAATCTCTGAAAATGCTCTCTTATCAAATTCCCCCTTACATTTAAATTACTTCAGCAATCTTGGACATTTAATGTAATTTTTTCCCACAGTTTCAAATGAGTACTATACCACCACGTCACTTTGTGGATAAAAAAAGCCAGCAGCTATATCACCCTACAACTCACAACTGGTAGCCCCACTAAAGCTCAGCAGTTGTGAGCCTGGCCAGTACCTGGATGGGAGACCTCCTGGGGAAAACCTAAGGTTGCTGCTAAGGTGTCAGTGGTGCCAGTAGGGGGTGCTCACCCTGTTGTCTGTATGGGTCGTAATGCCTGTAAAAAGGCGCCGTCTTTCAGATGAGACGTAAAACCAAGGTTCTGACTCTCTGTGGTCATTAAAAATCCCCGGGTGTCCTTGAAAAGAGTGTCCTGGCCAAATTTCCCAATGGCCTTTACCAATCATGGCCTCCTTATCATACCCATCAATGAACTGGCTACATCACTCTGTTCTCCTTCCCACTAAGAGCTGGTGTATGGGGAGCGTACTGACGCACTTTGACTGCTGTCGCAATCTCCAGGTAGTACATTGGTAGTGGGATTCCCCATTACTTATAAACAACTTTGGGTGGAGTGCCCAGGAAAAGCACTACATAAGTGTTAGGAATTATTATTATAATACAAAATCCCGATCTCTACATCGACCGGCCTGCGTCAGTATTGCTAGGCAGGGCAGAGTTACCTCCATGACCTGCAGGAAGCGCTCCTCCGAAGGCGGGTGCGTGGCCTGCAGGATCCTCCAGATGTGCTGGGTCTCGTCCAGGGAGACCTCCAGCAGGTCGCCCACCATCATCAGCTCCTCCAGCTGGGCTTTGGCAGGGGGGGACAGCTCCAGCACCGGCGGCTCCAGGCTGCGCGGCACCAGGGGGGTCTTCCTGGGCTGTTTCCGGGGGGTGCTGCTACCTGCTGGGGGGCCACAAGCCGGGATCATTTATCGCTCGCTTTGAACCGCAGTAGAAAACCCCCTGCGATCCCCTGTACTAACAGCAGACCTGGTTCTCCACCAGCGAGAAATTTAAGAGAGCTTTATTTTAAGCTCCCACAGTGGTGGAGGGGAAAGGACGGATACAGTTTTATAAAAGACTTTATAAAAAGTCTTTACAGGCGTCTGACTTTCATAAATCCATCTAAAGACGACATGACAGGCCTGATTTTGTAGCCTGATTCTTACTTGTGTCACTGAAACTCAATCACAGAATAAGACTTTGATATTTTTGACTCCCCTGTAGGAATGAGAGAGAGAGAGAGAGGGGTGTTGAGCCTTACTCTGCGTGCAGGACTTGGAGGCGGAGGAGTAGGCGTGCTCGGCGCAGAAGGAGGGCGTGACCGGCCACATGTGGCTGACGACCTCCTCCGATTTGACAGGGATCTCCTCGTCGCAGAACAGGTTGGGCTCCAGAGCACTGAACGGCTTCATGCTTCCAGGATCCTGAAAGGCAAAATACATCACAGTCCATTGCGTCTCGCATGCAGGGGTTATACAGCAAAACTGTCCAATTCCGGCCGCTGTGTTTGCAGATTTTCTAAGGTCTAGCAGCAGCTCCTGAAGACCTGGGAGAAGCTGTTAAATTGATCAATTTCCGCCATCAACCCGCTGGTTTAGCTTTTTCAGATCTTGTTTGGAATGAAAACGTACAGATACACCAGCCCTACTGGACACCCCTGGTTTAATATAACCTTGTCTAATCACAAATTGCACAATCGGGAAGGACAATGAACAGGTAGCCCCCACATTCCAAGTAAAAGAACGATGCCTCTGAAACTTCTCTGAACAGCTCCAGGAATTTAATGTTGCTGTAGTAACATAATGATACTCATCTTTCCTCTTTGTCTGCAACTATATAATGAAACAAAAAATGCTCCACCTAATGGGCATTCCATTTACTGTGATGGTGTAATAATGCAATTTTGGTCACTGAACAGTTCTCTATAATATTAATGTTTTACTTGAAATAATCTACACCCAAAACATTTATGTCAGTGTGCATAATGAAGGAAATCAGGGCAAAACATTGGTTATATTTTAAATCACTTAAACTTCAATTTAAAATCAGTCCTTTAAGTCTCAAGCTATTTTAATGCTTGCTTAAAACCGAAATAAGCTTACTTTTCCCCCTGAATGCTAGATGTATAAACGTAATGACGTAAAATGTAAACCTTCCCAGGTGGTGGTCTAAACTGGCACTTAATAAAATATCTCAGGTAGACTCAGCTAGGAGAAACAAATTTAAGACAAATGAAGCAGAATTCGATTTTGTTGATGAGGAGTACTCCACTGAGTTTTATGTAACCAGATTTTTTTTGTGTGTGAGGTCTCACTGAAGAAGACATAAAAATCAGCTCAAAATCCCACAGAGGAAGGTTGAGGCTTCTCCAAAAAGTTGCAGGTTGGGCTCTTTTGAGTTATAAAAAACAAAATTCAAAAATCACGGTGATGTTTATATTCTAAAATTCGAAACATAAATTCATTAACTTGGTTTGACGTTGTAATTCATTCAAGAAGTACTGAGCCCAGTTTTGTTTTTTGGGGGTGGAATGTAACTATGAGAAGTTCATGGTTAGCTTACGTTTAGCACTCAACTGACCCTATCTTACACTGTAACCAATCTAAGAACTGACAGAAGGGGATGGAAAACTCCAGGCCTGCCTGAGTGTCACCTGGTTTTATGGCAACGCTGATCTTCATAAAACGAATTCTTGGGATACGAAACACTACTGCCTGTTTTTTAGCTCTTAATCAAAAAGTACCTGTAAGATGTGAAGGACTCCTGCCCTCAAGCACTGGAGTTCCCCATTCCTGATCTACAGCGACAGACAGGCAGGGAACAAAATAATTACAGGACTATTAGGGATGGCGCACAAGCTGAACCTCTTCAGTTCTGTCACACGAAACTGTCCGGTCCCTCTTCGGTGCCAAACAAATTACATAGCAGGCGAGTTGACCCGGTTAAAAAAAATCTTAATTTCTGAAACTATCTCAATGGAAGCTACTGAAAAAAGACAGTTATTTATTTTTTTTCATGGCTGGAAACGTCAGACTAGAGGGCACTTTTAACTGAGTGGAGTTCACGTTCATGCTCAGTTGAAGCAACAGTTTCCACAACTTAAAAAAAGGCAGGTCAACAGTATCCATGGCACCCGATGCCTAGGGGCTGTGAAGATAAAAGCCAAACCAAACCCCACCCTCGGGATCGAACTGAGTCAAGGCTATAATCTGTAGGACGGAGGTCGGCAAGCCTGGTCCCAAAAGGTCTCATCTCTTAATTGCACCTATCGGTTTTCATAATGGAACAAATACCAATAAAGCATTGTATCCAGGGTTTAAACTGGTGGAGATTTAAAGTGATCTAACTACACTTAGAACTGTGGCTCTCCAAGGGCCTCAAAGGTCCAACTTGAAAGGAGGTCAATGGCAAATTTTAAATGGCAAGGTATAATCAAACAGGCAATGTTATTATAGTCCTACGGTTTTCTGCAAATCTATATCAGATGTAAACTGAAATATATATAATATGTCAACTATATATGACCATCTTCCACAAGCTGTTAACCAAATGACAGGTGAAAACAAAACATGTTCGTGTGACTTATAAAAAAGTTAAATCTCTCATTTGCAAAAGAACTTGAATAGTACAGTACATATGAATACTCAAGTTAACTACTAAATAGTTAGTACTGGACAAACGAATACAAACAACCATTTCTAACTATTTCATCCAGGGTCAAGGGGAACTCTTAGCAAGCCACAATCCCAGCAAGCAATGGGCCAAAGGCAGGATACACCCTGGACGGGACAACAGTCCATCACAGGGCACACACACACATCTAGCGTCAATTCTCCCAGAGGCCAACTAACCTACCAACATGTCTTGGGTCTGTGGAAGGAAACTGGAAAACCCAGCATAAACCCACATGAACACGAGGGGAACATACAAACTCCACACAGACAGCACCCCTGTCCAGAATTGAACCCAGGACCCCAGAGCTGCAAGGCAGCAGTGCTAACCACTGCACAGCCTAGTAAAAAATAAACCTGAAAACTTAATTTCAGAATAAAAAATTGTCCTGTTTCTAACATTACAGTTCATGTTAAATGCTTTGTCTGAAAAGCATTTTACAATTGTCCCTTAATTATCTCCACAGCTACCAATGCTGACCTAAAGAGACCCCAGCCACCTTCAAGTATTTCAAAACAGGTCACCCTATAATCAAGTTCATCCAGAAAAAAAAAACATTCTCTTACTCTGTTTAACAGATGTGCACATTAAATGACATTAGAGACGGAGGACATCATGATGTAGAAAGAGTGACAGAAAACTGAAATCCCAAGAGTAGATGAATTAAGATTATGTGTGTTCCTTCAGGTCAGCGTTTGCCCAATCAGTTTGCCTTCAGACATTAACAGGAAATTTAGGAATTTAGGAAAAATCATATACATCTGAGGGGAAAAAAAAAATATTATTTATAAATTATATTGTTTAGATTTGGAGCAATCAAAGCGCCCTGTAGTACAGTCGATGTATACATTCGACACGGGTGACACTCTCTGAGAC